CAAGAGATAAGGTAAATAATGTATACTGTACTTGAGAAGAGGTGATTTTCAAGGCTTCCTTTAGGCAAATACTCATAAACCAAGAGGAACTGATTCTCTTCCCAGCAATAACCCAACAGCTTCACTAGATTTGGATGATGAAACTTCCCTAGGAATCTCACTTCACACTGCATTTTTACAATATATCCACACACACACATTAACAATTATATTCGATTGATTTTTATTTATAACATACAAATATAACATGTGACTAGGTTATCTCTATATGATTATGAATGTTTATAAGTAGCACTATTCAAAAATATAAATGATATGAATTTAAGGAAACGAAATATGAGTATGTAAAATTACGCATATGAAAAGATTTAAGACTGTATATATGCCGCGTGAAATAAGATAAATTTTGTATTTGATCAATGTCGTGAGTTTGGAGCGTGGCATGTATCAAACACATTTGAAAAGTCAATGGTCAAAGTTCATATAATAATTCAGAAGCTGATATTTATTTATCATCGTTCCTTATCAAAATATCAGGTCAAGAATTTGTTTTGATATAAAGTTTTTAGTTCTATTTATAATATACATATATATGTGTGTGGTCGTGAATGTTCTTTCTTATTTTTATTTGTATTGTATATAGGCCGACACAAAATATTTATTTGATATTCTACACAGGAAAGAAGAAAATAATTTTACACGCATCGATACAAGAAAACATCCACCCATATCATTAAATATTATTTATGTATATATCATTGACTTTAATACATGTATTTTTTTCCCCCGATTGACTAATATAGTTACGTGAGAATTTCTTGACTTCTTCTTCTTTTTGGCTTAATGTCAAATTGACTTCTTCTTCTTCTTTAAGGTATTAAAATTTGATAGGATAATAACCAACTAATTAATACGTTCGAATTCTAGTGAGACCGGTGATGATACAATGAAATTCAACTATAAATGATTAAAAAATCCTTAATTTTCAAATACAATTTTTTAGGGTTGTAATAATTACTAATACCTAAAAGAAGAAGAAGAAGTCAACTAGTAGCGGACTAGCGGTAATAATTATTTAGATACATATGCGTTTTC